CATTTCTGCTTAATTTCAGAAGGACATTTTTTCCCCTTTCTCAACACTTTCACTTCTGCTGAATGTTCATCTGAAAATGACGCTTCAGTTAATCATTTATTTCTCTCGCCAGTAATAATCCTGCCCTGCTTCCCCATTCACACCAGCCTGGTTACAAGTGATGAAGGCCACGCGGAGCCTCCTCCTCACAGGCAGCCAGGCTGCGCTCCCCACAGACTGTATGCTCTCATTTTCTATGCATTGCCAGATCTAAAACCTTCTGTTTTCTTTCCCTTGTTTGCTCTTGGCAGCTATTGGCAGGAGACATCCTCTTAATGATCTTTTTCTGGCCTTCTAGACGACTGCTCAGACTTCTACAGATCTTTCATTATTAACGTAGAAGCCTTGTAAGTCAGTTTTAATGGCCTGTGCAATTTTTATTCCTTAGCAGGAGACATAACCTCCTCCATATGGATACATGTTTATTAATATAAATCCTTAATATATTTCTCCTAGTGAGAATAATCAGTAAAAGCCAACTGCTGCGTATTACACCTTGTACCAGCTCATCCGAAAGTCAAAAAGTAATCTTTGCCCTGCAATGTGTGAGGCATGGCAGAGAGAAGCAGATAATCTTTTTCCCTGAGGTTGCCTAGGCACCGAACGACAGCGAGGTTTCTTTGCAGGGTCCCGCCGTTCCCCTCCAGCCAGAGGACCACATCCCGCCCGCAGCCACTTTCATTTCTCCAGCATGGGATTCATTACCTGGTTTCAGCCCCTTACTATTATTCCTGGAGTATCTCCAATCTCTGTTTCTATTCTGATTGGGCATAAAAGAAGGATGGGTCGCTCGTGTTAGGGACGTGTAACAAATGCCAACAAACCCACTTTTTTGTCTGTGACTCGACAAATTGCTATTAGTGCTCAGCCTTCATTACCAGCACAGCCTGGCTAACAGTTTAAATGGGGAGACTTGGAAAATGGGGCAAAACTGTCGTTTATAAAGAGAGTGCCCTGGTTTCTTTCCTATAACCAAGGGGCGATTGTCCATTTACTCCATTAAATGTTTTCTGGATGTACAAAATGACTCCCATCTTTCTTTTAAATACTCCCTTTGAGTCTGAAGATGGAGTTAATAATAACATGCACCACAAAAGAAATACAAGCCATTCCCAGTGCTATTGGATGAGATTTCTGTCCTGGTTAAGCAAGAATTATTTTCTCCTGTCTCTTTTACAACTCCTCCATGTACATCAGGAGACTTCTGTTTAGTAAACAGCACAAAAATCGGTGTTACCTCTTCTTTAGTCATGATTTTCATATTTCAACATTTACTATATTTCATCTAAGTTTGTCATTAAAGAAGGTAACAGAAATGCTCCTGTACGTCAAGAGACAGAAAAGTTGTGGCACTACAGCATTTATTAGTCCTCCTGGAATCTCAAAGCTGTGCTTCATTTCTCCTTTTTTTTTTTTTTAAACTAGTTAGCCCATAAAAAAGTTTAATCATGGCAACATAGCCCATTTCACCCATCTCTACAGTTAAACTATGTTAAGCAGCAACCCACCTAACATAACGGGCAAAATTTACGTTCCCAGATGGTAAATTTTACAGTACGGACAGACTGGACCAGCACAGCCGCAAATTAACCTCCAGTGTCACAAGAATTTCACTGAGCACATGTATAGATCATCTGTCAACAAAATGAGCAATATGACTGTCAGGCACAGCAAAAGCATTAAATGAAGGCTCAGCCTCCAAATTCTGGCCCTTGCCATGTCTGCGTCCCTCAGTTACACCCAGTCACGCTGCCTGCATGGCAGGGGGAAAAGGAACAAATTCCCCAGACGACAGCACAACTACAACTTCAACTCAATCTTAAATTCTCATTGTTGAACGAAAACAAACATCAGAAATGTAGCTTAAGCAGAGCAAAATCAGTTTGCGTTAATGAAAGGGACTGGAAATGAAAGCTGGGGCTTCACCCAGACCCTGCAGCATCACTTTGCAAGTGACATTACTGGAAGGACAGAGGTCTAACAAGTGAGTGTCTTTCAACATAACACCCTGATGAATCAAGAAACTCTTTCCAATTGCTTTTCGGTTTCCAAGCTTGGTTAAGAATCCCAAACTGTACCAAAAGGAGGAAGAATCTGCTCTCTTATGAGAACTGAAGTCAGTTTTGCTTGAACAAAATCCAACGTAAAATAAAATACCACACAACACAGCATGAAATAGTAAAGAGATGCATAAAACTGAGCATATCTGTTCTTCTACCTACTGTCAGAGCTCGAGGTTGGCATCAAACACTGTGCTGAGAATGACTTGATTTTGATCTATTGTCTCATATGAGCCAGACTGCAATTCACCCCGCTACACTTATAACAGATATGATTAAAAACAATCAATTATATTAGGCAAAAATATATTTCCCAAGGCAAACATTCACTTCAATGTATTTTTCTCTGGCCATAACACACAGAAATTCTATGTATATAAAAACCTTCTGGGTTTTTACGGACATTAGCATTGAGCTGAAAAACGGAAAGCCTGTGAGGGAAACTGCATAAATTAGATGCAGGCACTATAGTGATTGTATTTCCCTCGGCATAATTCCCTGCCTACTGTGTAAACTTCAGCTGAATAATCTCTCCACGGGCCCCACGTATGTCATTCGAAATAATCATAGCAACACTTGCTGGTGCTCTCTCCATCCTGAAGGATGGGTGAACCATCAGCAGAATTGCATTTTGCCTCTTACTTTCCGCATTCAACTGAAGGTTAAATAAAAAGACTTGCAGTTTCTCTGATGAAAAGCACAATGCAAGCAAAGCCAATAAAAGACCAGACAAGCTAGACTGCATAGAGCCAATAGTGAATTTTCGTCTGGGCACATAAAACATGCTGATTTATTGTAACAGAAACATCTCCTGAAGATGAACCGATTGCTCACACTTTTCAAAGAAGGAAATCCCCATGGTAACCTGACTGCCTCCCCAGCAGCTCGGGAGCTCCATGTGTCAGGAAAAGTGCCATGGAGTGACTCCCACCTGACGGCTGGAGACGTGCAAGTCGTAAGGGCCAGTGGGAGAAGCATCTCGGGAGTAACCAAGCTCTTGTGGCTCATCCTGGAGCTCCCCACAGTTTGAAGGCTCTCAACTCCCTGATGTCTGTTTCCCTGAAACCCCAGGTTTGTTGCTGAGCTCAGCACTTGCAGAAACTAATTTGCTTTTCAAAGACAGCATTTCAAAACTATTTCTGCAAGTTTTTGTGCTTTCCTGGCCAGCAGAAATATCAAAACTCTTCCCTCGTGCCTTTTGTTACAAGGTAAATGCTATTTTAGAAATTCCAATGGAAAGAAAACTCACTCATCTTAGGTCTCGAATATCTAGGGAGTTTTAGCTGTGGTGTGGCAAAGAGAACAAAAAGCTGAGAATTAAGAGCTGGTGTTAGATCCTTGTAGAGCCTTAGGCAAATTCCATAATCCGTCTGCTATAGCACTGAGGATCAATACACAACTGCCAAACCTGACTGCTGCACGAGGCTGGTCCATCCACTAACAGTGGATCATAGCCAAAACTATATTTAACAAGGAAAAGGCACTAAAGAATAAGTTGGGTTTCTAGGAAGACCTTGCCTGACCCAAACAGAATCACAGAATCACAGAATGTTAGGGGTTGGAAGGGACCTCTGAAGATCATCTAGTCCAACCTTCACCCCAGCATACCTAACCACTACACCATAGCCTCAAGTGCTAGATCTACTTTTTTTTTTTACTTTTCAAGTTTGCTTAAACCCTATGATATTTTTAAACCTTATGATAGTTTTTCCCCCCCACCCTCAGCAGATGTAAGTGCCTGGGATGTCGTGGACCATTTCTGTCCCTCTGCCTGGGCGCTGCGCTATGAACCGCTTGCCCTGGTTCACGCAGCAATCTCTAAGTTCGTTAATATGTGTGTGCTATTTCACAAACGTGGAATGATTTGAAAGTGCTGGATAAGGTTTGCTGTGCATTTTCTCAACATCTGTCCCCGAAGTGCACTTCTGTCATGTTCTGCTCCCGTAGTTCTCATATCAAAAATTCAGAAGTAAGGCATGAATCTGTTCTGAGGTCTGCTAGCATGGGCTGCAGCTCCTTCTTTCCCAAGCGTCTCGCATTCTCACAGCATATGACACTTTCCAATTACCTTTTGGCCCTTTTATTCCCCCAGTCTGGCTCACATTTCTCTCTGAATTTGGTCTCTATGCAGCTCTGAACCCACAGTCTGACAGCTAAGGACATAACAAATATCCAGCACTAACCCTCGAGGTGGTTAGAAAAGCCTGACTTCTCTTATTACAGGCAGATTCACAAGTAAAGGTCACCAGAAAGTCTAAAAACTTAACACAGAAATGGGGCATGCAAAAAGCAGTGAAAAGTTTGAGGATGAAGGATGGGCTGTCTTACAGAAAAACTGAAGATAACTTGCAAAGTTTGGATCCAAATCCTGGCTCTGCCAAAAGGCTTCCTACGCAAGCTGAGGCATGTCTCATTTTCTCACCTCTCAGCTCCCCTCTGCACAACGCAACATAATAGTTCCTCACCGGGTATGACCTGTGCAAGATGTACCCCATGTATGTTAGAATGACGATAAGAAAGTTGATAAAAAGAGAAGAAGCTTTACCAAAGATATGAAAAACCCTCCTGCAAACTGCCTAGCAAAATGGATTGCAGCAGTTATCCTGGCTGACTTACAGAGGCAAAATTTAAGAGGCAGAATTATGACTAAGAGCAAACAGAATTAAAACAAAAAATAATCATACAAACATTTACAGCTCATACTTTTAAATCAATTTCCGTGTTCCAAAAAGTGTCATCCACACAGATAATTCAAGACTATTTATAGTTTTCCTCAGTTGGAGAGCAAATGCTTAAGTTCTCTCAGGAAAACACTGAATGTAACTGAAGAAATTACACCTGACATCAATTTGTCCCTAGTTGTGGAGTGTTTAGCATACAGCACTTTAAAAATTCTCTTACCTTAATACAAACTGGTCTGCTAGAGAGTCATCAGCCAGGGAAATATGGAAGGTCACAACATCACCTTCTCTGACCGGGTTGAGTGGTAAGCGAATAACGATATTTTCATCTAGCCTCAGTGAAGACTGTTTTAATTGGTCTTGATTTGGGTAAACAATGATGCTACCAATCCTCTCCATAGCTGACAAAGCCTGATGTTCATTATCTTGACCTGCATGGATATTGTTTTCCCACTTTGCATCCTCTGGAGAACATTCCCCATCTGCTGTATAAATCTTATAGAAGAGCTCCACAGTAATCCCTTCCATGGAGGCTGTTTCCTCTGAAACCCGGGGTGGAGGGGAGCTGAACCAGCTAGGAGATAGTTCCAGCTCCGCAACACATAATCCTAGATGACCTGTCAATCTACAGCTGGCCACAACTTCTCTAGACTCCAGAAAAGCAAACATCTTCACACAAGGCAAGCTCTCCGCAGAATTAGAGTCATCCCAGTCCTTCCCCGCAATATAGAACAAGGTTTGTATTTTAGGTTTGTTGGAATAGATTGAGCTGTCGATTATGTGAGATTTTAATTTCCAATTAAAAGTGAATTTATCTGTGAAACCAAAAGATGCAGAAGTCAGCATGAGGTCCAAGGGAACAGCCTGTTCAACAGAAAAGGGTCCATACGTGGCGTTTAGGACAGGTGGCAGTTTGGCTTTGTATATAAAGAATGAATCCACCCTAGACTGCAAACTGGAGTTCCTCATGATATCCTGGTTGGCTTCTTTGAGGAAGAAGAAAATATCAGCATTGCAGATGTGATAGCTCGCAGGGAGATACGTTGGCAGGTTTGAAAATCTCTGTATGCTGTCCATGATCCCTCCTCGGCTCTCCACCACTGCAGTCCAAAGATAAAAGGAAACAGAAAGACAACTCTAATGTTTGCTTGGCATGCCCCTCAGTTTTCCTCAAAAGCAATGTATTACCAAAGATCGAACTGTTAGCCACAATTACGAATCAATCTGACACAGGTACCACGGAATAACGCTGTTACACACTGAAAACCTCCCATCGCATCAGCTGCACTGCTCCCTTTCCACCTTCCCCAATCGAGTATCTACTTGAAAGCCATTAATCAAGAACCGGATACAACAAGGAAGAGATTGACCGGCCAGATCCAAATCTGAGTCCAAAAACTTTTTACTGGTTGTTTTCTGTTCCTTTATTGCCAGATCAAGCTTACAACTTTTTCTCATCCATGTTGTAGTATATGTAAGAAATTGGCACGTTGAATATTAGTAGGCAGTAATGCAGAATATTTTCTCTAGTCTAACACTGCTAACATACAGTGCAACGGGGGGTGGCAAGTCTGTATCACTCCAAATCCACTTTTACCAGGTCAACAGTTTGGAAACTGATAAAAGCTTTGTGTTCTCAAAACTAAAAACTTTTCAGAGAAAAAAAAATATGGGGTTTGAAAGAGGTCTCAGTGCGATGAATTTATAGGCCAGAGTGAACTTGAAAGGAGGAGAGAAATCCTCTGCATGCACAAGGTTCGCATATGCTTAGAAGCATTTTTTGGTTTAATTCCAGAGGAGAATGAAACACATTTGGAAACGACAGAAGCTTCTCTACAACACAATGGTCAATCCTCCAGCCAGCACTGAGTAATTTTCCCCAGGCAAGAAAAGATTCCAGAGGGAAGGAGGGATCTTTGGTTTGGGCTGATCTCTAATTAATAGTGAGATATATTCAATCTGGGCTGTCAGTCTACCAGAAAGAAACGGTGGGTCTTTCAAACTAACAACTCATATACTCCAACTGAAAGCTGGTGAAAACAAGCTCCTGGGACTCCCACAGAAGAAATAAACAGAAACCAAAAGAATTGAAATGAAGCAGTTCCATAGTGTGCAGAGATAACAAAGGAACAATGACAGATTCTAAGGTCAAAGCTCTTGTTGTCTCTCGCTGAGGCTTAGTGGCGATTTTACTGTTTGTCAGGACCGGGGAGCGCAGATACACAACATGACAACTGCACAAACAATTACACCTGTTACAAGCCAGATGACTCAGAGACTTGTAGCCACAATTTAGCACAGATAAAAGCTCTAATATTTAAGCTATTTTTTCAGGTTGTGTATTTTTAAAGCCTACACTTACTGAAGACAGAGCAAATCTCATCCATTCGAATTTGCTTCACTCTTGTTCTTAGTTGAAAGTCGGCTCATTTATTTTCGATGGCCTGATATTATCTATGCTTGCTTAAATGCTTCTCATTTCATCACAATACTTCTGCCTTTACTTTTGCTGTATATTTAATCGTGCCAAAGTTTTTCTGCAGCCATTGGAAAATTCTTTGTGAGAGTGAGTAAATATGCAAAAAACATACAAAAGCACAAAA